TCCTGCAAGGTCACTGTCAGTGAATCCCACCAACTCTTCATTGCCTCGACCTTGTTTGTACACCAATCCGTAGGACATAGTACCCTTCACGTACCTCAAAATATGCTTGACAACCTGTCTATGCAAAACTGTAGGGTGCTCCATGTACCTACTCACAATCCCCACGGCATATGTGATATCGGGTCGGGTGTGAGTTAGATACCTCAAAGATCCGATAATCCGTCTATACTCAAGCTTTAGCTTTGTTTCCATAGGATATTGCGTCGGGTTGCAATCCATCATGCCGAACTGACCCAAAACCTTCTCCGCATAGGCCGCCTGCCTTAGTGCAATACAATCATCTCGCTGATCCACCTCGATGCCAAGATAATAGGAAAGTAAACCAAGGTCACTCATCTCGAACTCCTTCATCATTTGTTGCTTGAACAACTTTATCTCATCCGCCCTCCATCATTTGTTGCTTGAAAAACTTTATCTCATCCGCCCTCGAGCCCGTAACGATCAAGTCATCTACGTACACGCCAACAATGAGTGTATCCCCTCTGTTACTCCTTGTGTATACCGCCTGCTCCTGAGTGCATCTTGCAAATCCGATGCCCTTCATGCACTTGTCGAGGCGCGTGTTCCATGCCCGAGGTGCTTGGCGTAGACCGTAGAGTGCCTTTGAAAGCTTGTAGACCTTGTGCTCTTGATTCTTCACAACGAACCCTTCAGGTTGAACCACATAAACTTCTTCCTGGAGATCACCATTTAGGAATGCCCGAGGTGCTTGGCGTAGACCGTAGAGTGCCTTTGAAAGCTTGTAGACCTTGTGCTCCTGATTCTTCACAACGAACCCTTCAGGTTGAACCACATAAACTTCTTCCTGGAGATCACCATTTAGAAATGCCGACTTCACATCCAGATGGTGCACCTCCCACCCATTCTGTGCTGATATGGCGAGGATTATTCTGATGGTATCAAGCCTCGCCACAGGTGCAAACACCTCATCGAAGTCCACGCCTTGCTGCTGGACGTACCCTTTTGCTACAAGTCTTGCTTTGTGCTTGAGAATGTTGCCTTCATTGTCCTTCTTCAGCTTGTACACCCATTTGAGACCAATGGGTTTAGAACCTCGCGGTAGCTCCGTGAGTATCCAAGTCTTGTTCTTCTCGATGGCCTCCATTTCCTTCTCCATAGCTGTCCGCCATTCTTGATCTGATGCAGCCTCGAGATAGTTCGCAGGTTCTTCAGAGATCAGGAACAACTCCTCTGCAGGGAGATCAATCACCTCCGTCTCCGCATAGATGTCCGCAAGAAGAAGTATACGAAGAAGTGGGGAGCAGTGAGGCGTACGGAGTCCATCACTGCAGCTTCAATGGACGTACCGAACGCGTCCAAGACAGGGAGGGTTCGCGGCTGGCGTCTGCAGCAGGCTTGGCTGGACTGCAGGAATTTTGGCTGGTCTCCGTACCTGCTGCTACCTGCGGGTGTATGCGGATGGTTGTGGCAGCAAGGTGGCTTGCCCGCTTGGTGTGCCGGTCTGTCGCAGTTCTATCTCCGGTCTCAGCCGCCTCGCTCTGCGTACTATGCTGCGTTCCTACAGCGGGTGCCTTGTTTCGGCCAAGCAGTCGTTGTCCAGTGAACTGCTGCATGCAGTTCTCGGTCCTATGTTGCCTGTTTCAAATTGTCGTTATCTGTGTGAGTATACGTCCGGGCTATGTGTTTGTGACGGTTGCACTGCAGTTTCCCCTTCCGCTGCTTTGCAACAAACCATCCCAGCTGCGGTGGATCCCTTTCGACTCCATCGACGCTTCCCTTCCACTCTTTTCCTTCCTCAAACGCGCAACATCCCTGCTGACAGTATCTTAGTTATGTTGAGGCGTCGTGATAGCGTATAGCCGCTTTGCTTCCTTCCTCTACCCCTGATAGTAGCACCATTGGCATGCTCTTCCGATCGTGTCGAGTTTCTTTGGTGATGTTAAGGACCTGCAATCTTCACATGCGCATACATCCAAAAAACTCTCGTTAAGTGTTTCTTGAGGTGGGCGTTTCCCTTTACCAAACCAAGCTTCGTAGGGGTGGTTGGTTCGTGCCAACGCCTGTGGTGGGTAGTCGGTGAGGATGTCGACCACCCCGCAAGCGTGCACTAACCGCTTCGCCCCCACATGGATTCCAGGCATATGCATGCCTCTTAAGTAGGCTCCTCGCCATGTGCCATCGCCCGTGCGATTACGGCCTCTCCACTACACCGTTTTGCTGCGGCCGGTGTACAGTGCCAGTGAGATGACGTGTGATGCACGCTAGTCTTTCACACAGTGTTATGCTGCAACCTCTCTTCACAAGCAATTCGCACCACAGATCCGTTCCTCAATGTTCTTCCACCTTGTGGTCCATGCATCTCAACTCTGATTTTGAACTTACTTGTATATGTTTCACAATGCTTGACTCTGTGCCTGTGTCAACATGTATAGGCCCACATCGCATCCGGCTGAAATCAATTCAACAATAAGAAGTAGCTGTACCCGCAAGGTGTGGATGGGTAGATAGAGACCACATAGGTCAGCATGTAGTAATTCTCAGCGGACCTCATAGAGCTTGAAGTTTGCTTTGCGGAATGGGGCGAACGGCAGTCTTGCCCTTGCCTTTTGCGACAAGGCATCCTTCGCATAGTGATTCAGGGGTGCAGATCTTCGCTCAATCGGAAGCCATCCTCTATATTCAGTCATCATCTTGGGGACGAAGAACATTTGGACATGCCAAGGCCGAGCCCTATGCCATTAACCAAGGCTGCGGTATCGTTAACTGTTCGCCATCAAAGCACGCCGGCTTGCTAGTCTTTTAACTCCTATCCTGTACAATCGCGTTACGTCGAACCGTGTCACCCTCATCAAGAGAGCCACCGCTTCCTATCAAACACCCCTCAGGAACTCGTCAGCATAACCAACCTTACTCCCATCTGTCCAGTCATCTGCACCGAAGCAATTAATGTTAGATTTGCAAACTTGGAATATAACTATACCTCAGGTAGTAGCCTTTGATCCGCGCGTTGTGCACTGAAAAGAGGCATAGAGCCTTCCCCTTGCATCTCTACGGCGGACTCCATCTCCACCAAACTGCACGGTTCGTTTGATGTTCTCGTGAGCTCCTTGAACTTGTCTCTCGGTGGCATGTCATGTATTGCTAGCGTCCGTTGTCAAAGGGTACAAGTGTGTTGTCAACATTGTGCCTCCCCGCCTGTTAAGGTAAATCCGGCATTCACTTCTCCTCATTAAGTAAATAACACTTGCACGATCCTCTAACATAGCCATCAATCAATGTTTGGCTCCTCGTTCTATATGCGCGGTGAGATGAGCCTTCCTGTTCATGTTTGGACGCGTGCTTGTGAACTCGACTGAAGTGCCTGTATACTCCGCAATTGAAGCATTTAAATGTTGGACTTGTCTCGTACCCGCTTGTGCTACTCTCCCCTCCTGGCGAGCTGCACCTCCGATTGCGCCGAAAACCACCTCCTGGACGTCCTCCTCTGCCGCCGAAGCCGCCTCGGCCTGCCTGGCCGCCGTGCTCCCCTCCGCGGCCTGCTTGGGCAGCGTGGTGCTGCTGCCCGCTGCCGTGGTGCTGCTGTCCGCCTCGGCCTCTTTGGCCACGGCCACGCCCACGACCGGCCCCGCGACCTCGTCCTCGACCGCTGCCATCATTGGTTGTAGGTGTTGAGAGGAAGCCTCCGCCGTTCTTCTTGCTCCTTGCTTGCCACTCCGCATGCGTCAACAATAGGTGATCGTCGACGTTGTTTCGAAAAACACGTGCCCTCTCCTCGTGGGCTTTGAGGCGCCCGATCGCCTCCTCGAGTGTCATGTCGTCGATGTCCCCGAACTGTTCAATCGTGGAGACGATGGTAAGGAATCTCTCCGGTACCGCCCGAAGTAGCTTTCTGACGACGTAGTTCTCCTCCATCTCGCCGCCTAAAGCCCGGATCTTGTTGACGGTAATCAAGTTGTAACCGAGATCAAAGGAATCAAAGTCACATTTTCTTTATTCTCTTCTTTACAATTTTCTCTACATACACGGATCTTGTTGACGACTCCTGTCAACTTCGTCGAAAAATCGTCGACGTTGTCATTCTCCTTCATCCGGAGAAGTTCGAACTCGGACTTCAAGGTCTGCACCTTCGCGTTCCTCACACGATCCGCTCCTAGGTGCATTGTTTTCAGCGTCTCCCATGCCTCTTTAGCCGTTTGCTTCTCTGCGATCACCATCAAAGTCTCTTCAGGAATCCCCTGGTAGATGGCCGCCAACGCCATCTGATCCTTCCTGTGTTCCACGGACGCGCCTGCCGCGGGTTCAATGGCATCCCACACGTCTTGAGCCTTCATGTAAACTTTCATCTTGATTGCCCACGAAGCATAGTTGTCCCTTGATAACGTCGGGTATTGAAGAGTGAGCGAACCCACCTTGGTCGTCATCTTCTCCGAACTCGTCATCTCTTCAGATCTTGGTTGGTACTTAGGCATACACCGCTCTGATACCACTTGTTGGCTTTTGTAATAAGATCGGCCTAAGTATCAAACCTGTTCACAAATACCCGAACCTGGGAGCTTTCCTCTGGGACCGAACAGCAGCAAACAGAGAGCTCAGGCTCTGTTTTGATTTGATGAACACAGGACCTGTAGACAGAGAGAGGAAAGAACGAACAGAGGAACAAAAACACGTTCTGCAGGAAACCGAAATTGAAGAGCATGGACTGCAGGAAAACAAAACAGAACCTGCAGAGTATTAGCCGGAAAAACAGAGAGAGAAGAGAATTTTCGGTGGAGAATTTCCCTATTTTTTCTTACTTTATTCATGAAGAGTATTTACATATATATAGATAAGATTACAACTTGAATTCTTATCCAATAACTAGAGAAATATCTACTAACTAGTATTCTATTCTAACTAGAATTCTACTAACTTGAACTCAACTAACAATCCGGACTGATTAACAACTCACAGCATACATACGCATTACACCGTTGACCATAACCCAGATAGAGGCTTCACCATGAACTAGATAGTAGTGAAAACCACGACCCACTGAGCTAATTATGACTGAAACTAAGCAAACATTGAGAATAAATAGGACACAAGTACATCACATAGTCAACTAAGAGAGGACACAGCTAACAAACACCGCTATAGTTTTCGCATCAACATTCAACAAAGCCAAAAAGCCACGCGCTCGGGTGGTCATTAATTACTCTTCTGTCGCCACGGCAATCTTCTTCTCCCCGTAGCTCTCAGCGACCGCTGCCGCAACGCCGTCATTCGTTGTGCTGCTCCAAAGGGACGGACCGTAGACGGCGAGCTTCCCTTCGGGTCGGATCGTGAGCACGTAGTCCGAGTTGGGAGGGCCCGTGACCCCGCTGCCCCACAAAGGAACTCCGCCGAGGTACTTGACCCTAAGCTCTCCGTTGGCTTCGAGATTCACAAAGCAGTCGAACATGAGGTCTTTAGAGTCGGTGAACCACAGTACCTCGCCGCTACTGTCGGCGGTTGACAAGGTGAGGTTGCAGTTGTCTTGCAGAACAAGCTTGTAGTCCCTGTTCTCGATTATCGTCCCGATCGGCGCGTTGTCATCCGTCCAGAAAGTCGAGTCGATGATCGCCGGTCGCGCTACAGCTGATGATTTCGTGGTGCCGGTGGACATCGTGATTAATGAGGAAGCTGCAGGCGTAGCAGACTAGCAGTCGAGCCAGATGGTGATGACCAGAGGGTTGGGCCGTAGACATGAACGCTGCCGTCGTAGTTGAGGACGAGAGCATAGACTCCCTCCGTCCCCTTTTGGTTTGTTCTCCAGATTTCGGTCGCTCTCCACCATTTGAACGGAAGAACTTGACCGTATAGGACGAGCTGGCCATCGGATTGCAGGGTGAGGTAACAATTCTGGCCCCGGCCCCAGGTGCCCGTGGCCCAAATTGGTCGGTCTTTGTTGTAGGCTACGAGGTTGCAGTCATCTTGCATGACGAGGTGATAGTCTCGGTAGGTCAGGCGCTGGCCGGTGGGGAGCTTGCCTCCTCCTACGTCGGAGAAGAGAACGTTGGAGTCAGGAGTATCATAATAATTATATTTGGATGATGAGTAGCGTTGACGGTCGGCGAGGTCGGAGCGAGCGGCGGCAAAGAGCGTGGTTGCGGAAGCTAGTAGCACCAGAATCAAACCGACGGCCTTCATTTTCGTTCTCCGATCCGATGGATAAAATCCTATGCTTATAATTTGGTTGCTCGATCTGCCCAAGTGTTCATCAACTACAGGCAAACCACTTCGAATCCTTAATCCTTTGTAAAGATAAATTAATAAATGTGCAAAAAATAACCTAGCCCGTGCATCACACGGTGTAATACTAGCAACTTACAAAGAACTAGTATCATTAATCTGACTTAACCAAAATCTCTATTTTTAATAGTTTAATTTGATATAGATTGGGAACAACTAATATCAAAATTATTTTATTTTATTTTACTTAGTTTTTAATGATACTTGGAAAATTTTAGAGATCATCTTATTAACTCTATTATGAAACTATAACAATTTAAAGTATAGATCATGTGCTTCCCGTGGATGGATTATTTTACGAGAAAATGTCGAACTAGAGGGAACCAATACATGTGATTTTTTCCCCCACTTGTATCTGTCTGCATTAATTGCATCTTCATTTATACACGAATCACCTCAAACAAGCATGGAACACGAGATGTTCGAGATGTTCAAATCAAAGAACTTTGAACCACTTGCCATTGAAGCTTCATCCATCTATTACATAAAAAAAAGAGAAATATAAATTAAAAGTAACAAAATATATAAAAAATAAAATATTAAAATATATTGTAATTACCTCATCAATGTTGTGTTGGTGAATGGAGAAAAGGGGTGAAATTCAATAGATAGCAAGCCTCCTCTTCAATGGATAATAATATGTTAAATTTAAAGTAATTTGGTAGAAGATAAACCCGGGGGAAAAACCCGGGAATAAAATTGTGGTACATTAATCGGTGGGGAGTTAATTCATTGAAGAGGATAATTCTAATAGGGGAATAATTAATTAGTATATTAATTTATACTTTGGATGGAGGAATAATTAATGACATATGTTTTTCTTATCGGGTGCCCAAGGGTACTCGATAGAAAAACCGATAATTTATTATTACACGGGCATAACAGTAACTATTGTTATTATTATTATTATTATTATATAATAAAGACAAATCGACGAGCTATTCTCAAGTCACCAAAATGCATCACATGTACAAAAAGGTGGCACATGTCAAATTCCAGAAGCAAGTTTGAAAGTCCGAATACAAAAAGGTGCCACATGTCAAATTCCAGAAACAAGTTTGAAAGTCCGAAAAGATGGAACATATAATCTCGGACAGAAATACCCTTATTTACCATTGAAGGAATGCGTCATTAATTATAAGCCAACTCAACAATCCATCTCGCCCGTTCCCATAATCTGTTCCATTTACCCGTCCCCCGTTAAAAGGACCCTAAAAAAATTCACAATTTCTACTTTTCTAGTGGTTTTGTTCTATCTTCCAGTTTCATATACTTTTACATCCCTTATGCTTAACCCCATTTTCGCCCTACACAAATAAATAACCCGTTTCATGATCCATATATAAATGAAGATGCAATTAATGCAAAAAAATCACAGTGTTAGGATTGTGTCTTTGATTCATTGTATAACTTCATAAGAATTAGACAGGATTAGAGATCTATCATGATTAGGAGATTTGGTCTCTGTTGAGAATAAACAATCTGATTTTATTAAACAAGCTTAGGCTTATTAATAGCCTTTTACAATCTTAACAGAAAGAGAAAAACTAGCTCACGTTCTCAACTACTCAACGTGAACAATGCAACTAGGAAAATCAGGAAACACTAAGCAACTACCCTAAAGACTAGGACTTATCTAACACTTATTCAAAGCAGAACACAAATTTAACAAACTCCCTAAACTTTCTCTTCATTCCCTCCCTTAAACTAGTTACAAGCTACAACTGGTTTAATTCAGGAATCTGACGAACTCCCATCTGACTTCGAAACTTCTGAAATGCATCCATTGTGAGAGGCTTTGTCATTACATCTGCTACCTGGTTATCTGTTCCACAGTAATCCAATTCAAGTACTCCTTCTTTTGTGAGATCACGAAGAAAATGGAAACGCACATCAATGTGCTTGCTTCGACCATGTAACACAGGATTTTTTGACAACTTAATTGTGGAACTGTTATCACAAAGAATTGTAGTACACTTACTTTCTTCCAAACTCAGCTTATTAAGTATCCTCTTCATCCAAACAGCTTGAGTAGCACATGCAGCTGCAGCCACAAACTCTGCTTCTGTGGTTGAAAGTGTAACTATAGGCTGCTTTCTTGAAGACCAGGCAACAGCTCCAGAACCCAACATAAAAACATAGCCTGATGTACTTTTCCTGTCATCTATGTCTCCTGCATAATCACTATCTGTATATCCAATCAGACCTTCACACCCTCCCTTTTTGTAGAAAACTCCAAGTCCAGTAGTTCCTTTCAAGTACTTCAAGATCCTTTTGGCAGCCATTAAATGCAACTCCGTTGGCTTGGCCATGTACCTGCTAATCAAGCTAACTGCAAACATCAAATCTGGTCTTGTAGTTGTTAAGTACATGAGGCATCCCACCATCTGCTTAAACAAAGTCTCATCAACACGAACTCCATTCTTATCTTTGAAAAGCTTACAACCTGGAACAATGGGATTATGAACTGAGTTGCTGTTCTCCATCCTAAATCTCTTCAATACCTCCAAAGCATACTTCCTCTGACAAATATAAATTCCATCCGATCCCTGCAGAACTTCTATGCCAAGAAAGTATCTCATTCTCCCTAAATCAGTCATATCAAATTCCCTCAACATGGACTTCTTAAACTCAACAAACATCAATTCATCATTGCCAGTAAATATTAAATCATCAACATATAAACTGACAATGAGAATCTTACCTTCCTTGTTTGTTTTGATGAACAAAGTATGCTCATTGTAACACTTCTCGAACCCTTCACTTATGAAATGTGCTTCAATATGACTGAACCAGGCTCGTGGAGCTTGTTTCAGTCCATATAGGGCTTTCTTCAATCTGTAAACTTTCAGCAAATTGTCTTTCTTCTCATATCCTCTAGGTTGATCAACATATACTTCTTCACTTAACTCACCATGTAGAAAGGCAGATTTGACATCAAGCTGAAAAACAGTCCATCCCCTTTGTGCAGCAAGTGCTAGAACCATTCTTACTGTATCCATTCTTGCAACAGGTGCAAACACTTCACAGTAATTAATTCCTTGTTGTTGCGCATAGCCCTTTGTCACCAACCGAGCCTTGTACTTATCTAACTCTCCATTCTCCTTCAGTTTTGTCTTATAGACCCATTTAACATCAATTCTCTTTGCTCCCGCTGGTAAATCAGTTAATATCCAAGTATCATTTCTCTCTATAGCTTCTATCTCAAAATCCATGGCTGTTCTCCACTTTGCACTCTTCACAGCATCTTCAAAACAGATTGGATCACCTTCAGCAAACATGACAAAATGAGACACATTTTCTTCTTCTTCTTCTTCAGAGAGACCTTCTCCACTTACATAATCTCTCATCCACCCAGGAGGCCTTCTGTTTCTTCCTTCACTCTCACCGTCTTGATGACTGCCAGTAGGTTCAGTAACTTCTTCTTCTTCAATACTTACTACTTCTTCATTCTCTACATTCATAGCCTTGTCATCTTCTTTATCATCCCATTCCAAATCAACCATCATGTGCTCTGTATAACTCCTATCCCAACTCCAAGACTTATCTTCCTCAAATACCATATCTCTGCTAACTACAATCTTCTTTGCAATAGGATCATAGAGTCTATATGCCTTAGATTGTTCACTTACTCCCAATAGCACACAGGCGACACTCTTGTCATCTAGTTTTTTTCTTTTCACATCAGGAACATGCACATGTGCCACACATCCAAACACTCTAAAGTATTCAACCGAGGGTCTGATTCCACTCCAGGCTTCCTCAGGTGTTTGATTCTTCATCACCAATGTAGGGCTCCGATTCAGAACATGTATTGTCCAATTCACCGCTTCCGGCCAGAAAGTCTTTGGTATCCTTCTTTCCGAAAGTATGCATCGAACCATATTCATCACAGTTCGATTTTTCCTTTCCGCTACTCCATTTTGCTGTGGAGTATACGCTGTAGTCAGCTGTCTCTTGATGCCATGCTCTATGCAAAACTCATTGAATTCAAGTGAAGTGAACTCTCCTCCTCGATCTGTTCTCAAGCCTTTAATATATGTTCCTACTTCTTTCTCAACACTACTTTTAAAATGTTTGAACATGCTTAATGCTTCAGATTTCTCTACTAAAAAATAAGTCCATGCTTTTCTAGTAAAGTCATCAATAAAGCATATAATGTACCTCTTCTTGCTATTAGAGATGGGAGAGATTGGTCCGCAGAGATCTACATGAACAAGTTGAAGCTTTTCTGTGGCCCTCCAATTTCTCTTCTTTAGAATTGGATCTCTATGTTGCTTCCCAATCATGCAGCTTGTACACACTGCTGTAGGAGTCTTGAACTGAGGTAACCCATGCACCATCTTTTTGAACTGGAGAGTCCTCAATCCCTTGTAGCTCAAATGTCCATACCGAGAATTCCATAAATGCGCCATATCTTCTGTAGAGGTATAGAAGCAAGCTGGTTTCTGTGATAGTGGTTGTGCTTGCAACACAAACATCCGATTTCCTGACATCTCCACCTGCATTATGAGCCCTTTCTCTGGATGATAAACCTTGAGTATTCCATGTTGGATGAGAATTGTCAATCCTTTTTCTTGTAATTGACCAATACTCAACAGATTATTCTTTAGTTCAGGCACAAAAAATACTTCACTAACAACATGTGTAATTCCACTTACTTTCAATCTCACGTTGCCTCTTCCCAACACATTCATCTTTGTGTTGTTTCCCAACTTCACTATCTGCCTAAAGCCCTCATCCAGGTCAGTAAACAAGCTCTTATCACCACACATGTGATTGCTACATCCAGAATCTAAGAACCAAACATCCCCTTTTTTACCACCATTCACCTCCATGTATGACATCAGCAGCATCTCTTCTTTTTCATCCATCTTTGCATAGTTTGCATTTTCCTCCCAAGTTGGACACTCATATTGAAAGTGTCCAAGTTGATGGCATTTTGTAGCACTCCACTGTGGCTTTGTTGAAGGTTTGGCGACCCCTACCTCTGCCTCTGCCTCTTCTAAACACACCTCTCCCACGTCCTCTTTCACCGTGTTTCTCTTCATGAGTCACCTTGAGAGCTTGTTCATCTCCATTGCTCCTTTTGAACTTCTGCTCATGAACTAATAGAGAACTCTGCAATTCATCCACTGAAAGACGATCAGTGTCTTTCGATTCTTCTATTGAACAAACAACATAGATGTACTTCTCTGTAAGAGTTCGTAGAATCTTTTCAACGATCTTTGAATCCGGCATATCCTCTCCATAGTTTCTCATATTGTTTAAGAGTTCGTAGAATCTTTTCAACGATCTTTGAATCCGGCATATCCTCTCCATAGTTTCTCATATTGTTTGCGATCAGCATCACTCTCCCAAAGTATCTTTGAATCCGGCATATCCTCTCCATAGTTTCTCATATTGTTTGCGATCAGCATCACTCTCCCAAAGTACTCCGTGATTGATTCTCTAACTTTCATCTCAAGGATTTCAAATTCTCTACGAAGAACATTGAGGTGAGCACGCTGAACCCTTTGAGTTCCTTGAAATTTAGTCTTCATGGAGTCCCACAACTGCTTAGATGTTGCCTTTTGAGTGATAGTCTTCAAGATTGTTTTATCAATCGATTGAAATAGGTAGTTCTTGACCTTCAAATCCTTTAGCTTCATCTTCTCCAGAGTTTTGCTCTGTGAAGCCGTCAAAGTTTCTGTACCGCTCAGCTCTGTGTAACCTGGTTCGATAACACTCCAATACTCCTTTGATCACAGGAGATTTTCCATGAGCATACTCCAATGATCATAATCTCCATCGAACTTAGGAATACTCAACAAGTTTTGCCCTTCTGTTGCCATCTCTCAAACACTTTTCTCACAGTGTTTCTCTCAAACTTGTTAGGATACTGTAGTTCCTAAACTTTCACTACCAGACCTCTCCGCTGGCTCTGATACCAGAATGTTGAGAATAAACACTCTGATTTTATTAAACAAGCTTAGGCTTATTAATAGCCTTTTACAATCTTAACAGGAAGAGAAAAACTAGCTCACGTTCTCAACTACTCAACGTGAACAATGCAACTAGGAAAATCAGGAAACACTAAGCAACTACCCTAAAGACTAGGACTTATCTAAGACTTATTCAAAGCAGAACACAAATTTAACAAACTCCCTAAACTTTCTCTTTAGTCTCATCATGATTTGGAGTTTAAATTCTATTCTAATTAGGAAGTGAGGCTAGAGATAATGTTTTGGTTTCTCTATATATATATTCTTCTATTGCTAAAGAAAAACCCAAGGAGAGGAGAGATAACCAATATGCTTGTAATCTAGGGTTAGCAGAGGACGTAGCCTGATTCAAGAATATTGTACGAGAGTCGAGGGTTTTGTAGTCTTTATTTGTGCAAAAGATTACAGCATTAGGAGAGGGTTTCACAGTCTTTGTCCCTTCAAAAGATTGTAATGAGTGAGTTTTGGAGAGAATGTGAGAGTTGATCATGTATGTGAGGTTGAAAGATTGAGAGACGAGAGTTGAGTGGATACTCTTGTAGTTCTCCCTGATACATAGTAGAATTCTCGTATTGTTGCCCCGTGGACGTAGGTCGAAGTTGGTCGACCGAACCACGTAAATCTTGGTGTTTCTTTCTTCTTGATTGTAATTGTTTTATATATTGTTAATTATGGGTTGGTTTCTGAGTTTTGAAGATCGTAGTTCGCGGGGACTAAAATTGCCCAACAGTAAGGCACATATTATTTTATTTATGATAATAATCCATCCACGGGAGGCACGTGGTCTATATTTTAATTTGCTCTAAAACTTCCAAGTATTCTAAGGAACCAGATTAGTTAAACATATATATACATACTTAGGATTTTATCCATCAGATCGGAGAACAAAAATGAAGACCTACTGTTTGATTCTGCTGCTACTAGCTGCCGCAACCCGGCTCTTTGCCGCCGCTCGCTCCGACCTCGCCGATCGTCAACGCTACTCATCATCAAAATATAATTATTATGATACTCCTGACTCCAACGTTCTCTTCTCCGACGTAGGAGGAGGCAAGCTAGCCACCGGGCAGCGCCTGACCTACCGAGACTATCATCTCGTCATGCAAAGTGACTGCAACCTCGTAGCCTACAACAAAGACCGACCAATTTGGAACACGGGCACCTGGGGCCGGGGCCAGAATTGTTACCTCATCCTGCAATCCGATGGCCAGCTCGTCCTCTACGGTCAAGTTCTTCCGTTCAAATGGTGGATAGCGACCGAAATCTGGAGAACAAACCAAAAGGGGACGGAGGGAGTCTATGCTCTCGTCCTCAACTACGACGGCAGCGTTCATGTCTACGGCCCAACCCTCTGGTCATCACCATCTGGCTCGACTGCTAGTCTGCTACGCCTGCAGCTTCCTCATTAATCACGATGTCCACCGGCACCACGAAATCATCAGCTGTAGCGCGACCGGCGATCATCGACTCGACTTTCTGGACGGATGACAACGCGCCGATCGGGACGATAATCGAGAACAGGGACTACAAGCTTGTTCTGCAAGACAACTGCAACCTCACCTTGTCAACCGCCGACAGTAGCGGCGAGGTACTGTGGTTCACCGACTCTAAAGACCTCATGTTCGACTGCTTTGTGAATCTCGAAGCCAACGGAGAGCTTAGGGTCAAGTACCTCGGCGGAGTTCCTTTGTGGGGCAGCGGGGTCACGGGCCCTCCCAACTCGGACTACGTGCTCACGATCCGACCCGAAGGGAAGCTCGCCGTCTACGGTCCGTCCCTTTGGAGCAGCATAACGTATGTCGACGGCGTTGCGACAGCGGTTGCTGAGAGCTACCGGGAGAAGAAGATCGCCGTGGCGACTGAAGAGTAATTAATGATCACCCGCGCACGTGGCTTAGCTTTAAATAATTTAAATAATCAAACTTATGTTATTATCTATGAATAATAAGATGCTGCTGTTGGACTTGTGTGGCGTTCAGCAGTTTTCAGCCACGTACCTGTTGCGCGTGTTACTTTACAGACTTAGTTTACCTGCTTATGATATTGGAGCTTGTAGCAAGTGCTTCCCGTTACGTTTTGTGATTGTCCCTTGGTTGAAAGCTTTAGGCTTAATTAATTGAAAGCTTTAGGCTATGTGTTTGGTTTGAGGGAATTGGAAGGAAAAAGGAAAGGAAAGAGAAAAGTCGAAAAAGAAAAAGAAAGTAAAGAATTTTTTTTTTTTTTATGTTTGGTTCGTAAGGAAATTGTACGTAGTAGAATTTGAAGGAAATGATGGTGCTTTTCCTTAAAAAAGATGTCAGGAAAATAAAATAGTTTCTATCATCTAATAATCTTTTTACGTTTACTTTTTTAAAAATGTTTCTAGTTTCCTAAAGTTAATTTTTATGATGATGATGAAGTTGTTGATGTTTGTAAAGGGAAGTCTCATTAAGAATAGTCTATACGAAATCTCTAGTGAGAGAATAGTTGTGTGAGTGTTATGATATATAAGATTGATTCTTGTTTTTTTTTTTTTTTGGTAAATGAAAACTTTTTATTCATCAACCATTGAGAACTTATGTACACCTCAAGAATACTCAGCAAATAAGTAGCTGAGAACTCAAAAACTAACTAATACAGTTTCCCTTCTCCAATAGAAAAACCTGTCAAACCCTATTAGTGGGGTTATTGAGAATGATTGTGGAGGCTTCAAACATTATGAATAGAAAAACCTGTCAAACCCTATTAGTGGGGTTATTGAGAATGATTGTGGAGGCTTCAAACATTATGACCTTAATCAAATGATCAGCAGTGCTTATCTTCTGGGTAAACAACCTTGCATTTCTTTCTCTCCAAATGCAGTAGATTGTAGCTGTTAATACCAGTCTTCTAAGCTTAACCTGTAGAGATTTCCCTCTCATGCTTGAAAACCAGTTCCAAACCTGATTCCAATTGCAAGACTTCTTCTTGAAATTCATCCAATCCATGATTGAGTTCCAAATATAGGAAGAAAAAGTACATTCGAAGAACAGATGATCTCGCGATTCAGAGATTTGACCCGTGCATAGACAACACTGGTTTGAACTGATTATACCTCTTTTAAGGAGCCTATCTTGTGTGAGGAGCCTGTTTTGAATTGCTAGCCAGCTGATAAAAGAGTGTTTGGGTACATTGAGACCACCCCACACTGTTTTATACCATGGCACTGAGATAACAGTTGCTGACAGGTTCATGTACAATATCGATAGAATTGGCGTTGAATTCTTGCAGCTTGACATGATGAGGGTCTTGGTATTATCAGCACCTCCTAAGACCGCCATCACCTTGTTTCTAATTCTGAGTAATTGTTTCCACATCCATGAGTCCCCTGATCTAGCTTCCACCTGCCATATGTCTTCATGTTTGAGATAATTTTCGTGGATCCATTTAATCCAAAGAGATTCCTTGTTAGAATGAATGAACCATATGCTTCGTAAAGCTGATACTGAATTCCATAATTGAGCAGAATAAATCCCCAGGCCACCTTGTTTCATTCCTAGGCATACCTTATCCCAAGCTACAAGAGGCACTTTAGAAGAATGTTCATCTTTACCCCATAGGAATATCCTACATAATTCATCAATTTTGCGGAGAACTTTGACAGGAAGTATGCAATTTGAAGTCCAGTAGATAACCACTCCAGAAATCACACTTTTTAAAATTTGCAATCTCCCCGCATATGTCAGAGTTCTGCACTTTGTCCAGTTTTGCAGCTGCTTTGTAATCTTGTTAAACAGGGGAAGACAGTCATTGTATGATAATCTTTTCGTGATTAGAGGAACTCCCAGATACTTGATTGGCATTAATCCCTCTGTAAATCCCAGAATATTTGCAATTTCTCTTTTAACTGAGTCCTCAACACCTCCATAGAAGATTGAACATTTATCTGTATTAGCTTCCAGCCCAGACACTTCGCCAAAGGTTTTAAAGCACTGATAAAGCTTATGCACTGAATAAGTTTCTCCTTTTGCAAATAATAATAAATCATCTGCAAAAATCAGATGGGAGATCTGAAGTTTCTTGCATTTAGGGTGAAACTTAAAGTTCCTGTCTTCCTTTAATTTGGTCAAACTCCTAGACAGATAATCCATTCCCAGGATGAAGAGGTAGGGAGAGAGTGGGTCACCTTGTCTCAGCCCCCGTTCCCCCTTGAAGTAGCCATGTAGTCCTCCATTGAATGAAATAGAATACTTGGGAGTTGTAATACAGACCATAATCCAATGAATCATAACTTCAGGGAAGCCCAGACCAGTAAGAACAGATTGAAGAAAGCTCCAACTGATAGAGTCAAATGCCTTTCTAATGTCAATATTGATCATAGCTCTAGGAGATATATGTTTCCTGCTGTAGCTTTTAACAAACTCATGGGCTAGCATAGTGTTGCTAGTTATGTTCCTCCCTTGAACAAAAGCACTTTGTGCTTCATTAACTAAGCTTCCCAAAACAGATTTTATTCTATTTGCAATAATTTTTGATATGAATTTGTAAATGCAATTGCAACAAGAGATGGGTCTAAAATCTGCTGGGGTTTTAGGACATTGTACCTTTGGAATAAGAGTTAGTGAAGTTGAATTTACAGTCCCCAAAAGCTTTCCAGTCTTGAAAAAAATTTTAATGGCCAAAGTTACCTCAGCTCCGACAATTTTCCATGCTGATTTAAAGAATGAGACATTATATCCATCAGGTCCTGGTGATTTATCCTCAGACATAGAAAAAATTGCAGACTTAATTTCCTCATTTGTGACTGGATTAGATAGCATAATGATTTGTGAATCACTGAGACAAGGCCCAGCTTTGATTATATCCATATCAGCTGGAAGAGTGCTACTTGCTGTTCCCAAAAGATTCCTGTAGAATGTCACTAATTCTTCCACAATAGCATCTCCATCAGTTATCCTATCCCCCCTGCTGTTATATAGCACTACAATTCTGTTATTGTGCATATTTGATTTGGCTAAAGAATGAAAGAATCTGGAATTTCTATCCCCTTGCAAGCTCCATGCAATCCTGGCTTTTTGCTTGTAGAATGATAATTCACAGTCAAGGAGTTTGTTATAAAAGGAATAACATTCTTTTTCTTTCCTAATAAGATCACAGTTTAGAGGGTTTATTTGGAGATTTCCCTGAACCTCCTCTAAAGCAATTTTTGCTCTAAGCACTTGTTCACTTATATTGTAGAAGTGTTTCTTATTGAGATCCTTCAATGCCCCTCTGAGTAATTTCAGTTTTGTATAAACAGAGAACATAGGATAACCTTGGATGAATTGGTGCCAGATCTTTGAGACTGTTGGAATATAACTGTCATGGTTGATCCACATCTTATAAAATCTGAAGGGTTTTTTCCCTTGAAAGGTGTCTTCATACACTGAAATTATACCAGGGGAGTGATCAGAAATTCCAGGCATCATATACTCAATATGACTGGAAGTAAATTTATTGACCCAAGCATCATTTACCAAAGCCCTGTCCAGCCTGCTCCATACTCTAGTATCAGATTCTTGCTTGTTAGTCCATGTAAAAAAACATCCCTGAGTTTTGAGATGGCTTAGAGCACATACTTCTATGCAGTTACAGAAATCACCTGTGTCAGCTTCAGTAAGAGCAACTCCTCCCAATTTTTCATCAGAGCTGATCATGGCATTGAAATCACCACACAATAGCCATGGTATATTGCCAATGTTTTGGCAGATACTTGTAAGATCATACCATAGACTCTTCCTGGCCTCCAGTTGATTAAATCCATATATAGCTGAGATGACAGAATCCAGTTTTCCATCTTTTGACTTGATTGAGCAGGATATCGGTTGATCAGACATATTTATAATATGAATATCAAATATATTTGGATCCCACAGAATGATTATCCTAGCTTTTCCAGCAGGCCTGACATTAGAATCCCACATCCAGTTATTTGCTAATTTTCTGACAACTTTTGAGATAGAACAGTCTTTGATCTTTGTTTCAAGGAGAGCTATGAAGGAGATATGATATTGCTTAATATGATTTCTCACTATTTGTTGTTTGGAAGACTTATTAAGTCCTCGCACATTCCAAAAAGAAAAATTCATTGAGAGGTTCCTCCTCTATCCAAAGTAGAGGAAATATTTATATTCCTATCCCCAAAAGGTGTTCTGGGTTTGTTTCTTTGTATAAGAGTCCAATCATAGTGTGCATCTTGCTGTACATGTTTCCTGCTTCCATATACTGGAGTTAAATTTTCTTTGCTTTTATATAACTGCACTCCTTGTAAATCTTCTTCTTTTTCATTGGAAAAGCCATAAATGTTTGACCTCATTACTATCAGGGGGTTATCCAACCTCATGCCCCTTTTGCTTGCTTCCAGGATATTGTGTGCAACCTCACCCTGAGGGTTAGCATGTTTAAGCTCAGAAACTGGAATTTGCATACCAGAAACATGCACAGGAGAAGATACTGGAATTTGCATACCAGGGGCTACAAATTGAGCACCATCCTCTCTTTGTCCACCCTGATTATGTGCAGGAACAGATACATGCTCAGCACCAGAAACAATATGCTCAGGGGTTGGATTTCCAAGATCAGCAATTTTCTTAGGTATCCATTTTTGAACTGTAGCCTTCCTTCTACAAAAATTTGTTTCATGACCAATCCTCTTGCAAATATCACACCACCTTGGTTTCAGCTCATAAATCACTTTTTGAACATATTTTTTGCCATTAGGCCCTTGAATGAAGACTTCATCAGGTAGTGGAGAGGACATATGGACTTCAATTAGCACCCTTGCATATGCAAGTCTTGTTTTGTTTGCAGTGAGCTTATCGGTTGTAATAGGTGTTCCTATCATGCTGGCTATTTTGCTGATGCATTTGGCATTCCACAGGTTGAGCTTCAAACCTGGCAATTGAATCCAGACTGGGTATACACAATCTTCTTTCATTTCTAAATCTTCATCAATATTCCAAGGCTTCAAGAGGATAGGTCTAGATTCATTTCTAAATCTTCATCAATATTCCAAGGCTTCAAGAGGATAGGTCTAGATCCAAAGAACCAAGGTCCTTTTTC